AAAAAATATATTAACCTATCACATGTTAAAATTTTTCTCCATTGCGTGTCACTTCGCATTGAATTGTCGTCAATATTAAGCCTAACAAAAATTTTTATAATAATGATCGTCACTTTTGTATCGTTAAAAATTATTTCTTTATTTTGTACAAACAAAATAAATATATTGAAAAATATAAAAACAAAAAGAAATTATACTCTAGTAGTTAATCTAGTATCAAAAACGTTTGATTCAGCATGACACACATTCTTGTTCCTTGTTGTTCATAGAGGAGTGTATTGCTATTCACTTTTACTCCAAAAAAAATAGAGACAGGAGATAGATCGCAAGGCGACAGAAGAGCTGGTCTTATAGAAGACAGCCAGAAGAGACACGAACGGAGATAGAATGCCTTACAGGAGGACTTTTATGGGAAGCTGGTCCCTATTTAGGTGTCATCTGCAAGGAGAAACTCCAAGCTGCTAGACTGTCCAATTGAGGCACAAACTCCCAACCAAACTCTCAGTGTTTAGGGTCTGGTCACTACTGCTATGAGTGGAGATGGAGTCCACTCGGCTACCAACACACGTTCTGACAGTCTTCAGAAAAACACCACACACAAAAGTGCCAGTGCTGCCAGCTAAAACACAAACAAAAAAAAAATATTGGAGTAGCCCAAGACATAGCCAAAGGTTGCAGCACCACAGCACTAGTGAAAATTTAAATTTGCTGACTGGAACACTTTCGGTTAACCAGCTTTCAGTTAAATGACGCTCTACTGTATTAACAATATTTTCTACTTATAGCCTATTAACAGAAAATATGTACCTGTCTTATATGTGATTTTCAAATTAGTTAAGGATAAATAAATTAATTGCTTTATTTGGTAAAAATATATGGTCAGAATCATTACAAAAAAATCCTTAAAAAGATTCTTCTAAGACAATATATACAAATGTGTCTTTATTCCAATCCAGTCTTTTCAAATGTATATTTGAGGAATTAACAATTTCTGCTTATGTATTATCTTAGAAGAATCTTTTTAAGGATTTTTTGTAATAATTGCTTTATTATTGATCACTAAAAATCAAAATTATTACATTATATAGAAAAACAAACAATTGTAAATTATTTAGCAAAATATAATTAGTTATCAGATTTCTTAAAGTGCATCACTTTAATTATCAATACAGTACTATTAAATTTGAAGACTAATTTAATGTTTAAAAAATTAATAAAATCATATTTTGGAGAAAGTGAATGCATCTAATAGAATAGCCTGTTTCTGTCTTACTGGCAAGGGCACTATGATCCTAAGACCAACTACCATAATGTCTATGGGAGTTGGCTATCTGGTCCTTAATCTGTGCTTCCTATGTGACTTACAGAATGAATTAGTTTTTGAAATTTGATCAACCAATTTTGAGAAAACTTAGCCATTTTCCATTAATTGCAATAAAGAATCCAAAAGTGTAATAAAAAGTGAGGGTCTATGACTTCATTTTCAAGATATAGTGGAGTTAAATTGACAAATGTGCATGCTCTCTGACTCAATTGAGTGCAACTGATGAAATTGATGGAAAAAATAAATAAAAATGCATTATGCACACTTAATAGAAAATTGGAATGATAAACAGAACACAAGAACAAAGCAACACTGTTTTCTCTTTAAATCGCCTCTCCACATCAGAAAGTGCGACAATCTCCTCTACTGTGGCTTGCAATTGCATCTGTCAGCCATATAGAGGCAATCCTTGCAAGAATTGCCTCTCCTGTGCCCAGCAAATGTAATGATCACCTCTTTCTTCCCAGTTTTGCCTCTATTGCAATATGACAGTCACATGATATCCTAGTTATCAATTTCATTAGAATTCATATAACAGTTGATTATTCAGAAATCAAACATTATGTAAACATCCTACATTGTTTTCAGTTTATGAATGAAACCAAATATAAAAATGAAATATAGTTTGCAAAGTATCCAAGCCAAAAAAACATTTAATAGTTTAAAGCAATATTGTTTAACATCTATACCAGTATATCAAAGGGGCAAATATTTTTTAGTAAGATGAACAGCTATAAAATGTACTTATTAAAAATGATTGGCAAAGTTTGCATTTAATGTTCTTAAAATGAGTCAATTAACAATAATGATAACATTACTGTAATTATTTTCTTCGGCTATGATATTACAATTTAAAAAAAAACATAATAGATTAAAAATGTCTTCACTTTTTGCCATGTCCAGTCACCAGAAACTACAGTCTTCCACAGCAGAGGTGACCTTTCTTTAGAGGCTATGCCTCTAAAAAAAATGCAGTTACATAAAAGTTTACAGATCAAATGCCAAATTTCATTTCTCAATCCTCACCTCATCCTGAGATATTAAATGAAATAGATGCAACACATCTTGGGTATCAGTTTTTGATCTTTTTTGGGTTCATATGCATCAAAACATCACAATTACAAAAACCCAGCAGGTTTAATGTGACATGATTGTGAGGAAGGAAACTAAAAAAACCTTCTAAAAAATTTTTATTTTTGATAAACTAGATTAGACACAAAAAAAAAAAAATTACAAACTAAGCATGTATGTAATATTCAATATCCATACTATTCAAATAACTATGTTCACTCAAATGTATATTTAGGAAAAATTTATAATTGTTGAAAAAATATAAAACAATGGGATCGGTAAAAATTCTAAAAATATAATTTCTAAAAATAGACGAGTAAATTAAAACACTCTTTCCTAGACCGACTTCGAGTGATTTATATTAGCGGACAAATAATAATCAACAAAAATACTTTACTTTAACCATTGTTAATTCTTTTATTTTCATAATTTTCAAATCACGTTCCAAATGCATTTTGCCGTTACAGCCTCTTCAGTGGATTATCCAACAACCAGACACTTGTTTNCTATATTTTAATATTTTAACTATATTAACTATATTTTATAGAAAAAAATTATTAACAGCATACTAAACATTAATATATATTAACAATTTCATAAATATCTTTATATTTTCTTAAGAATAAAAGAAAAACATTAAACATATACTTAATATTAAAAAATCAACTATACCACAAACTCTAACTCATTACTTTTAATTAAAATCTTTTAAATATTCAAATTACTATTACTTTTACTTACACTTATCTACAAAAGCTGCTATGTGTTTATCTTTTCTCATATATTCATTATTGCATTCATCATATAATGCGAATAAAGCATCCATTAACCCATCTCTGGATATTATATGACGATTTGTAACATTTCCTTTAAGTCTTTCAAAGAATAATTGATTTAATTTAATTAATCGACTAGAAATCGACTCTCTCTGTTCTTCCATGTTTATATATCTGAAAAATAAATAACTCTAAATTTAATATCAAAAATTAAAAACAATTTACATATTAAAATTTTAAAGATTAAATATTTTAATTTTTGATAAAATCAATATATATATATACAATGGAAACATTAAAGTTATTTCATCTGAATACTTTGAAATTAGATTATTTTAAAATCACAATTCAAAGATAATTTCTAACTTTGCTTAACCTATTTTCATCAAACTGTTGATTGCTGAATTACTTAATCATTTTTTTGATTGTTTATTTTTAGAAATATCCCATTTATATACAGTTTTTATTTTTGTCTTCTCAAAACACATCTTTCTGATCATAGACACTCTCCTAGATAGTAATCTATGTTAAAAACTGACATTCATCTATCTGTCCCAAATACAGGGTTCAAATTTATTTCTATCAATAAATGCACTAAAATTCATCATCAAATCAAATTATCATCTATAACTACAATAAATAAAAATATTTTATTAACAATTCATTTTTCAGGATTCCTCACACTTAACTGCGGTTAAGTGTGATATATTTGAAATGTGGTGGAAACGCTAATTTATTGTGCGAAAGTGTGCATGCATATTTCTATCAATAAATGCACTAAAATTCATCATCAAATCAAATTATTAGCTATAACTACAATAAATAAAAATATTTTATTAACAATTCATTTTTCAGGATATAAGTTAGATCCATAGCTTGAGGTAAGATGCAATCCAGGTCATAAAAGGAAACAGTGGTGGATGTATAAATTTGCACATTTACAAGTGAGATGGGTCCCTGCAACCTTTAGGTCACCAAAAAAGCTGAGTTTTCCTTGCAACTTTTTTAAAGTTCTGTGATTTGATAATTAATAAAAGTTTAAATAGGGCTCATTTCCTTCTTACTATAGAATGCAGTTGAGGATATTTGAGGATAAGCTGATTTTAATAGCAAAAAACAATTTTGTTTTTATTAGTTTCTATTAAAATGTAGTTCCAGAGGTGTAATAAAGGACAAAATTGTGAAGACATTTTAGTGTTTCTTCTAAATTTTGTGAATTATTTTTATTTTGAAAAAGTTTACTATTGTTCTAGGTTGTTTGATGTTTATGTTTTCTACAAAATCTCCACTAATGACAGAGTTACCATCCAATACAGGATATATGGTATTCTGTTGAGTCATCAATGGTAATGGTATCTTTGGACCTAACAGAGACCCAAGGACATCATCATCTGCATCTAACTAAACTGGTGCTAGTTAGCAAACAGAGAAAATTCCTTTATTAGGCTCATTTACATGGCCCAAGTCACACAAATGAGCATTCACATTTTTAATTACTTTTATGGTAATTGACTGCCTTTTTAATAAAAAATATGGAACAATTTGCATGGCATATGGAACTACAGAACACAAGTACTAAATATTAACGACAGGATGTATGGCAACTCTAACAACGGGTGTGACTATGCAGACGCGAATTCAGTAGTGAGCGAGAGGTTGACAGTGATCTCGCAAAGAAAAATATGCACAAGCGAGAAGCCTTGCTGGCATGTGTGAATTTCTGGTTCTCACACATATCTGATAGGGTTTGATATTTATCATATCTTGCCTCTTCTCACTCGCCCACGTCTGCATAGTTGCATCCTAATCGGCAACAAGAGCAGCTCCAATGCTTTAAATCTGTCAGCAAGTAAGAGACCTCATCTCCCCTAAAAAATTATAAGAAGATCAATAAAATAAAAATCACACTTTTTATAAGTTATAAAGAATAACTCTATCACTATATTTCATACAAAAAAATAAAATAAATGAAGTTTTAAAGAAATGCCTGAAGATATAAGTGACTAAACTTTATTTTTTTTCTGCAAAATTACAGAAAACCTGTTATTATAATGTCTAGCTCTATTGATTCCATACTATTTACATCACTTACCGATTTAAAATAACGATTAAAAGAACTATTTTAATTATTAAAGTTGGATAAAATATTTAAATTGTTATGTAAACTATCAAAAATTCGTTTTTTTAATATAAAAAGTGCAACGAGATTTAAGTAGGCCAACCTTTTATATTGATACATCATAATTATCAATCAATTTAGCTTTTAAGTACTAAATAATAATATTCTGATCAACGAAGCATTAAGTCACCATAGTCGTGGGTTCGTATCCCAGTAACATTTCGATCTTTTGAGTGAACAAGAAACACTAAATTACAGTTAAAATGTCTTTACAATTTGTTCCTTTACACATCTCGTAATAACATAATTGGGCTGCAATTTTAAAAGATTCTAGTTGTCTGTCCGTCTGTCTGTCTTCCCTTAATCTAGAGAAGGGAGTAAGATACGTGATAAACAATATCATATATCAAAACAATAGAGAAAGGAGGCCACAATTGACTATACATGAACATCTAATGCAAACCTTAAATATAAATAACTCATTATAAATTAACATTAATTATATTTTAAAACGAAGAAGAAATCTTATAAACAATTATTTACATAAGAATTTGCAATTATTATAAGCAAGAGCAATAAACTGTGTACTTTAATAACACTGATATAAATATTGCTGTTTTTTATTGATGTTCTATTTCCAGTTTCTTACCATTAATAACTTGCATTTTAAACGTTCGATTGTCACTTTATCGATTGTTAAGTGTTAGACAAGTTGTCTATCCATTATTATTCAGCATACGATGTTAAATATAAATTATATTCCTGTATTTTTTTTTTCCNTAATATTACTACTAGAGGGAGAACTATACGAAACACGTTTCGATTATTTCGATATTACTGAATTTTGAATACATTTCGATCGTTCTTCTCGTGATAAATATTTTATTTGTTCATTATTTAATACTGTTAATAATAGTTGTAATTTTTGTTTTGAGTTATTTGAAACCAATAAATTAAAACTTTTCAAAGTTGGAACTTCATTTTGAACCGTGATTCGAAATTCTAATGCGGACCTTTGCCGTAAAGGATGGGACTGCACTCTCCCCCATAAAAACATTTCGCCCTTAACTGAAAAAAATCACCAGAACAATGATCATAAGGCATTTTGCTTTCACACGTTCGGGCCCTTGTTGGCTGCGGTCCCTGGTTTGGTCGAACCATTTTGCGCCATTGTAGTTCCGTCACTGTTTTTTTATTTTCTTTTTTCTAATCATACTGTACATTACTATGTTGATAGTCAAATGGCTGAGGTGGTTAAGATGACAGCCTACTATTCTAAGACGGCCGGATGGCCGAGAGCGGTCAAGGTGGCAACCAACAGTTCTGTGGATCCGGGATCGAATCCCGACGGGTCAAAAATTCTCCAGGAATTTTTCGGGGGTAATACGACCGGATATGTCGGTCCCGTCCCTCACCACCCGGCCGCCCATTGTAGGTCTGGCCGAACCCATAAACCCACAGGGCGGAAAGAGCGAAAAAAGCCTACTATTCTGGAGAGACTGGGATCAAACAGCAACTTTCTGGAATTTTTTGTAGGCGTTCTGTCCCAGATATCAACTTTTCATGCAAACAGGATAAGTAAAAGCACCGTCAGCTATCACTGTAATTTGTCAAAATTTGTCAGAACCTAAGTGCATGGCCTGCGTTATCTATCCGATTTTTATCGTCATTTTAGACTGGTGTTGTTGTTCGTGCGAAATGAGAGGATTGTCATAATAATATGCTCACTATTTTGTGCTTAAATTTGTACATATGACTATGTGTTAGAGTTATTACATTGTTTAAATAAGTTTTCTTTCTTTATTTTATCCTAGTTCTAGAAATGTCTTACAGGGCTACCAAATGCAAATTGTTTACTTGACCGACGAGTTGTTGGACCATTTTTATCGGCGGCATTCTTAACTCTCGAAAGTACTTAGCGCTCTTAGTAGAGTATGTTGGACTACTGCTCTCAGAAGTAGCTCTTGATAACAATTTTCTATCAACACGAGGAGCCCCCACCCATTGGGGGTCTTCCAGTTAGAGAATGGTTACATGCCAGTTTTTCAGAAATGTGGAAGTGTCTAGGATAGGGGCGCCCGCACATTGGATCACTTATGATACATGCCCCTCTTTTTCGTCTCGGTTGCCCTTTTCGTAATCTCCAGAGGGTACCAAACAACTGAAAATTCGTGACTTCTAGCCTATTCTGCAAATATAGAAGAAACTAACGAACGATATTTATCCATTGACCTATGCAACTTCGTTGTATGACTCCATTCTTTGTTTTCGATGCCAAGTTAGCACGAGTATGGGAGCGCTGATCCGACGTTGAATCAAAGTTCGAAGCTCCTTGTGTAATGTACAGTACAATGCCTCTTTTTATAGCTAGTGCTATGAATTTAAATTTTGTATAGGTACTTTACAACGCAGCAAACACTATAGATTCTAGGATATAGTAAAATATGTATTAATAATCAAGATAAAAATATATCAAAGCACTCAAAGTAGATAAAAATCTTCAAAGTTTAATATTAAATAATTTACATATGGATAAAACTTAAGATAAATCACCAGTTTGCATGCTTATAAATTTTAAAAAATGAAAATATTTAATGATATTTCCATTGAAATTTATAAAAATCAATAATTAAAGTAATTATTAATCATTTAGAAAAAAATATAGTTTATTGTGTCAAAAACTTAGAACATAAATTGAATTTATTTGAATTAAATATAATTAATAATTAAATATTTTAAACCTTTGGNATCATATATGATATATTATCAAGTAAAGGGGGGCGTATCTGGACGGCAGCGCTGTTTTCCCTTCAACATATCACCAGAACCAACAAGTTGATATGAACAGCATAGTAAAAATCATCAGATAAAAGTCAATAAAAATAAGAAGGCTACCTTGATTTTAAACTGGAATAGTCAAGGTTTAAAAAGTAAAATTTCCTCTCTAAATTTCATCCTACAGAAACACGACCCAGACATAATTGGAATTACAGAAACTTGGATTATATCGGAATCATTTTACAACTCAAACTTCTTAAGCAACTATATCACAATA